GCATCTCCATTATCTCGTCAAATACTCTGTAGCAGTCAGACGCTGGGTCCAGTCCTTCACACTCATTTTCTAGATTAATATTCATGTCAGTCCTAGGAGATAAGTATCATTGCCTCATCTTAGGAATAAGGAAACTGAAGCAAGAAAGATCACAATATTTGCTAATGGTCACACAGCTAGAAGTGTAGCTGTGGTTTACCTTGATTTCTTCCATCTTAGAGCTCAAATAACAGAGCGTTACAGCTGATGTTTCTAACACATCACCTACATTCAGGTGGCCTGTCACATGTCCAGGTTTTTTGACTCCACCTCTCAAATCAGAATTTCTGGAGATGGGCACCAGGCATCTGGATGCTAAGATGCGACTCTAGTTATTCTGATAAACACTGAGGATCGGAAATCACTACCCTGGGTGATCTGGCCATTCACTGCATAGACACTGGTGTTTAGGTTTGATGTGAGAGGCAATTGAGAGAGAAAATTAACTAGCCAAAGGAAGAGACGGCATTATATTATAGAGGAGAAAAAATATCCAAACTAGGAATTTTAAGATCTTATAAGAACTCCAAGATTCTCGTATGGGATCATCTTAACATCTTTAAACTTGTATCTTATAAATTTAACAAAAGTCCTGCTCAGCCTACCTAGGTAGAATTGTTATGAAAATATGATGAGAAAATACATGTCACTAGTTCTGAAAAGCAAAAGCCTATAGCCACACTGAAGTTATGATGAAAATAATGCTCCAAGTGTTCAGTCTTACGGCTTCGAATAACACAGTTTGGTAAAGAAGAGGTAAGGTTTCTGTCTCCATTATGGAAGTGAGTCCGAGCCATGCAAGGTCAAAGGCTTTAAAACGAACAAGGTGAAGTGTGATCAGGAAGACACTCCACAGAATTGGCAGATCTATACGTTTGCAATAATAGAGGTGAGGGGAAGAAAGGAGAGCGTCTTCTAGAGGTTCAAGGTTGAGAATGGGGTACTTGGATTTAAACAGGAAACTGGTACCAGGTGATGTTTGCAGGGATTCAAGGTCACTGGGGCGTGAGGAAGAGCAGAGAGATCGGTATTCAGAATCACTCACTCTTTCATCAGACATTTATCAGGCATTTCTGTGCTCCCATTCTAGATATTCTAGGGTTCCAGAGATGAATGAGAGTGTCCCTGCCTTCAGGGGGTAACTGGGGTGGGTGGAGTGGAGCTGGTGGTAAAAGTGAGGAATCCTAAGAAGTAAATGATGCGCTTTTCCAATGTTAACAGTGCTGGGAAAGGAGGACCTGAAGTCTTGGGAAGGGGTGATGGAGGGGCTGAGAAGAGGAGGGAGAATTAGAGCGCCACCTAGAGGGAGGACTTGCCTGGGAAAACCCACTCTTGGAGGCTTTCATTTCAGACTGCTTCAGTTTCACCCAAATTCCACACTGAAGTTTGAGGACTTGCTGTCTTTCTCTCCATGTTTGTCTATAATTTCACTGAAGGACAGTCATCTCATATCTCAGTATAAAAAATGGAAGAAGTGGGAGTAAAAGCTGAGAGTTATAGAATGCTATGTGTGCTTTAAAATGATGTTTTTGGTTCTTATTCAGCACAATTCTTAGAATTAAGAGCCCAAGTGTCAGTTACTATTGACTTACTTCATTCAAGATTAATATATAACAATAGATTTTTTAACTAACTATGAACTTCAAGAATCTTAAGAATTCTGGTTTTAGGAAACTCATTATGATGATGTTTTTATTTGAAATGTCACTTTATCTAAATCTACTACAAAGAAATGACTCCAAAATAAAGCAGTGTAGAAGAAATTTAATTATTTCTCAAAATACCTTGAGCATGCACCATTCACTGTATTCCTTGCCTGCTTAAAAGCAAAAGGGATTTGTGGTGAGTGTGATCTACATAATCAAATCTGCAATGTTACCATAATTATAATGCCCTCTGATAACATTACATTATAGTTAGCCTTCTAAACCACAGAAGTCTTAACTTGTCATTTACCAAATACTAAAACAGGGAGGAACAAAGGGCTTGCTATGTTTGACAATCTAGAAAGATCATATGACACCTGGAAAACTATGCCACATAAAAGATTGGCAAGAAGTGCATGGAAAAATGGCCCAGTGGATGGAAACTTGAAATGGACATAAACATCAAGAATGGAGCACAGCTTTCCAACACAAGGCCGTGACCCAAATTCCACTCAAGCCAATTGACTTGATGGGAAAAAGCAGGCCTAGCTCATAGAGAGAAGCTCCATATCTGAATATTATTTTACCCCATGTGTGACATGGACCTGAGTCAAGAGGAAACAAAAGCTCTCTGATTATTCATTAGAACTGCAGCCAAAAGAGACAACATCATTCACCCTTAGAGAGGCTCCACTCAGCATCTAACTAAGGGAACACGGGCAATTGGAGATGTCTGACTCACCAGATGCTTAAAAGTGAGCATCTCTTCACACAGGACTGACCTGCACTCAGCTTGCCCCTTGATCACCCTGGGCAGTCTTGGTTTGGGCATTACCTTAGGAGGGAGTCAAGGACAGTTCCCCTTTTTACTATGTCATCATATTAACAAGTGTATTTGAAGAACTGGAATTCATAATCAGAATTCGGACTACTGGCCCTGAATCCACTATTAACTCATGTACCATTTTGAACAAGCCAACCAAACTCGGTCTCCTGAGAAAATTTTGAATAGTAATAAAATACCACATGGCAAATAAGAATATGATCAGAATTCACATGAGAATGTCATTTAAATGTGAAAGCAAGAGTATCTTCAAAAGGAAAATAATATTTAAACTCAAAATATTTAATTTCTAAGACTGACTTTATTGATAAAAGCAATTATATTATTTAAGGACCTTATTTTTCTCAAGTTATTTCCAATGATCAGGATCTGTGAAAATCCAAACCAGGCCACAGGGTTTTCTAGAGTAAAAACATCAAAAATGTTCATTTAAATATGTGGGTTCTGTGACATATTGCTATATGTGAAGACTAAGGTATATGTGGAAATTTTCAATAAATATTAGTAAATTTATTATTCCCAAAATCATGAAAAGAAGTCTAGAAATCCACAGAATTGTGTTATAATATACTCTAAATATTTTTAAATGTTACTATTCTCATTCTATATAAGACCGCATTGAAAAGTCAGATAATAAAAAGTCACATATTAACTGAGTTTCTTTTCTCTCACAGCTCTAGCTTTGAAAATACAATACACTTGTCCTGAAAAGCAAACAGCAGGGACAGAGCAGCTAACTCGTTAAGTATGGCTTCAGGTGGGTGTTCCTTAGAGAGGCTTTTCACTAAGCGAGAAAAAAATGTCCTAAAAGAGGCCTGGGAAGAGGAGGAGAAGAAAGATCAACTTCTACCGATTTAAAGTACAGTTAGAGAACTCAAAGCACCAAAGTTTCTTAAAGCACAAAATAATAGAGTTTTTTCCCAATGAACTAATTGTTTAAAAGCCATCCTCTAATTTAAGTGAGAAAGTACAAATATTGCTCCTCTGAAATAACTCATGTCCCAAAGGGAGGAAAAAAGAAAATATCCACTCTCATTGCCTTTGAATTTAACTGGACTATAAATTTTCTTAATGACTTGGTCTTTAGAATGCCTAATTTATTTAAAAATAAAAGCATAAAGAAGATGGAAAATAGAAGCTTTATTTTCTATGCTGAGAGACACGTCTTTTGTCTCACTCCCATTACCTTCCAATATTTCAAATATCAGTTTATCCCCAGATGCTCAAGAGGCTAAAATGGGCTTTACTGTTTCATCAACTCCACATTTGCCTGAAATCATGAAATTGCTTCATTATGTTTTTAGTTTAAAAGCTTTCTTGATAGTTCCTGGATCTCCTCCCAGGCCCTTTCCTCCAACACACACACACACACACACACACACATCACCTCTCTCAAGCTGTTAAAGCAAATTGCCTAAATAACCCTCAAGATGAAAGATGCCAAATGCCAAAAGACAGTAATCTAATTTTTCTCAAATTGTTCATTCTCCCCAGTCGTTGCCACCCCTCCCCCCATATGCCACTCCTAGTTTTTCAGTGTCTCCCCCAGACTTATAAATCAGTTGTTAACAGAGGTGAGGGTAAGTTAACAAGAGTGTAAGTAAACTCAGTGTTGTGTTAAAGAAAAAAGGGTGCTTGCGTGAGTGTGTGTGTGTGTGTGTGTGTGTGTGTGTTGAAGAGAAAGGAAGTTTTGTTTTACGTATTAAGTAGGGAAGGGAAGGAGTCGAATACATTCCTCTCTTTTAAAATATTTTAACTTATTAGATACATCAACTCAAAAACTAAGAATCTAGCCAATTAGCAATAAATATACCCTAGCTTTATGTGGGGGAAATAAAAGGTTCAAGTGTCTCTGTATAGGGCAATTATTAAAACTGTTCAAATGAGAAGTTCAAGGTGTGTCTTTTAAACTTTGTACAGAAGCATTTCTAGGAGCATTCCTGGGCTGGCAGGCAGGACAAGGAGTGTCCAGATGCTCCGTGAGGGACGCGCAGTGTAGCTGCTGGCACTGGGCGGGACAAGCTCCCACCTGGTAGCTGGAAATGCCAGGGGAGACGCATCAGCTGGCAAGCCCTGGGGCCACGCGAGAAGCTGAGGAAGGATGGGAAAATGAGCCTGCTGGCTCGGGCTGCCTCACTTTCTCTCTTCTCTACCGAGCCAGACACACCTACTAGCTCAGGTACTACAAAGAGCAAAGCTCCCGCACGTTCGCCATCCAACTGGAAGCCGGGAACCCAGTCCACATTCACATCCCGTAACATTACAAAAGCTTACACTCTTCCCAGGGGCCCCGGACTGTCTGACCTGACTCCCCCAAAGTAAGCCTCTGGAACGCAGCAGTGTTGAAAGCAGCCCCACGAGCAGAGACACCAGCAGCCTCTCTCCCACTCTTCCCAGCATCACGCGCTGGCGCCCAGAAAGGTGTCGATCCGAGACGCCTCGGGAGGAATCGCGCATTCGCTTCGACTTACTTGGAGTCGCCAACGAGCGGTGCGCGCTCAGGCTGCCTTTGTTGATCCGGGAGAGGTTTTTCTGCCCTGAGTCCAGGTACCCAAGTCGCTGGTGCTCGCGGCGGCCGCTGCTCTCTGCCTCCCGCACGCCCGGTGACTCCTGCTCTCTCTCTTCTCCTCTCTCCACTTCGGCTTTTCCTCTGCTCTGCGGCTCCCGTGGCGGGATTTTTGGACTGGAAGGCGGGGAACCCGATCCTGCCTCGGACTGGCGCACGCCCTGCCGGGGAGGGGACGGAAGGGAAATGGAGAATGGGAGGGATGCGAGGAGCGGGCTGGGAGCGGACGCGGCTGGGGCGGGGGGAGCGCGCCGGTCCCTCGCGAGCTGATTGGGAAGCTGCTTCTTCAATGCGAGGTTCTCCCGGGGGCGTCTCGGCCCCCAGCCTCGGCGCCAGCACGCGGATTTGAACCCAGAGGCCGGGGGGTGAAAGACTTGTTTCGAGTTTAGCAGGGACAGATGCAATATCCCTTTGCCAAACTTTGCGCAGTACCTCTTCTGCAGGTGGGTGCGTGCCCCAGGTTACCAAGTAGCAGATCTGAAATGGACAGTTGACGGTATCTTAGGTTACAGTTTGGGCCCCCGGCGATTTCTGTAGTTGCTATTTGAGGGTGAAAAACCCCAGTCTTCAGAACCGAGCTCTCCTTTGTCCCCACCCCACCCCCAACGCCCTTCCCCCTCTCTCCCAAACCTCTGCACGGCATCAATCACTCCAGCGGTCAGTCCCGTCCCACCTGCGCGTCACTACATGTGCAAAGGACTTTTTGGCGCTTGTCACAAGAGTGACAGATATCTGAAAGTTCCCAATTAAATGTCACTTTCCTTTAGGGGGCTCTTTCTTTTTCTGGCTTCCTTGGTGCATTTAGTGACCTACTTAATGACATGTCTTTGACACTCAAGAATTTCGGGGCTTAATCCACGTGGCTCCAACTCAAAGGTTTGGACAACTCAGAGGCTGGGCTTCCGTCTTTCTGGAATTTCCATTTTCTTCGAATGAGGACAGAAGTTAAGGTAACGGACCTAGGATTATTTGAGTAACACATAAATATTTGTGATATAGATGAGAGGAAAGTGTTGCATGAAATGATGAAGTATAAAGCAAATGTACCCAAGCACAGTCAAAAAGGAGATTCTCCTCTGCTCAACTGCTCTTTTCTGCTTTCTCTTGCTTCTTTTACTTCCTTTCCACTTATTGTTTGATGGTGCCGACCCCAAATGTAGTTGCAAAATACACTTCCCTTCTGTTTCCCATAGTTCTGAAGTAACTTCCTTTTAATTCAGTTTAAGAGATAGCTATTTAAGTGCCTTATATAACTCTTAAAATTTACATGAATCAACCTAAACCCCAAAAAGCATTGTTTTGTGGGAAGTAGCTCTTAGGGTCTTAGAGACTTTGATGGCTACATGGACAAATGTACCATGGAGGGACTGTGTGGGGACAAAGAGCCTTCGCTAAGGGAAGTGCTTTGAATCAATCAGTCCATTTTTTTTCAAAAGCACAAGCCTCAGAAATTCACCTGCACACCTCCAGTCTATCCCTATAGCTGAATTCTCCACATACCCGACACACACCTTCTTCAAATGAAACAAATGAACACGGAGCTGTCTTCCTTCCATATACAAACTTCAGGTTGCCTGTATCCCTTTTGTGATCCCATTTATCCAATGAAGAAAAGCAATATTTGTTTTAATCTGATTTTACCTGTATAAATTGTGGAGGAATGCGTATTATCACTTATGATTATTTTCTCCAGACCCTTTACTGAAAGAGATTTCTCTGTACTCACTGTCACTTCATAGGGGTGAAATCTCCAGGCCATTAAACAAGGAGTTAGCCATTTTTTGGTGGTGGTGGTTTACTCGCTGAGTCGTGTCTGACTTTTGCGACCCCGTGGACTGTAGCCCACCAGGCTCCTCTGTCCATGGGATTTCCCAGGCAAGGATACTGGAGTGGGTTACCATTTCCCTCACCAGGGGATCTTCCCAACCCAGGGATTGAACCCATGTCTCCTGCAATGGTAGATGGATTCCTTACTGCTGAGCCGCCAGGGATGCCTTCTTAAACACTATCTTAACATCTCCAAATGTAATATATTGCTACCAGTTATTATGATGCTTCTCTATAGGGATCCATAAAGTAAGCATGAGATCCCCATGATTTCCATTCTGTTGCATGTGTTATATCAAAAAATAACCCTTTATTCAAATAGGAACATATGAAAATTATTTTCATCAGTGGTTCTCAACCAGGAGCTATTTTGCCAATAAGTGAACATTCGGCAATGACTGGAGACGTTGTCACAGCCTAGGGGAGGGAATTGTTCCCGCGCCCAGTGAGCATAGGCCAGGGATGCTGCTAAACAACAGCATCCCCACAACAAAGAACTATGTGGCTGGAAATGTTAATAGAGCTGAGATTAAGAAACCCCGACAAACATTATTGTTTGTTTTTATTTTTATTTTTTCATTTAAAAAATTTGTATTTATTTTTACTTTTTTATTGTGGTAAAATACACAGTGATTTTTAAGTGTACAGTTCAGTGACATTATACACACACGTTGTCCTGTGACCAGCACCACCAGGCTTCCTAGCCTCTTAATGAGTGATCATAATGGCTGGATGGGACCATAATCACCATTTTTAGCCATTGTATTTTTAAAATATAAAGGAAGATGAGAAAGAGGTTTTTTTTTTTTTCTTTTTTTTAAGAAATAGAACCCTATAAGATTTAGCTTAGTCAACCCAGCAGGTACACCAAAGTTGAAGAAGAAGACGCTTTTTAACACACTCTGAAATTTGCTATTTCACATTGAAACTTCTTCCTGTGACCTGGACATGGGTCTGTCTGTTGATTTAAGATTTCAAGCCATTTCATTTATTTAGCTGACTTTCTTTGAGCACTTAAGTTTTTGAGTGAATAGAGCCATGAACAAAAATAGATGAAAATCCCCACTCTCATTTGACTTGCGCTTCTATTGATATAAACTAGCAAATGAAATTAATTAACAAATTAGTAAAATTTGTTAAAGATATGAGCCTATGAAGGAAAATCAAAGCATCAGTTTGGAGGAGGAAAGACTTCCTGAGTAAAGACTTAAAAGAGGTGAGGGAACTGGCTAAGAAAATATCTGGGAGAAGGACCTCCGGGCAAAGTTCAGCAAATGCAAAGGCCCTGAGGCCTGGCTGCTGGATGTGGTGGAGGACCTCTGGGGAGGTCACGGCAAGCAGGGACAGAATGGGTGGAGGTGGGGATGGAGGTGAGGAAGGTGGGGACGGAGGTGAGGAAGGTAGTGGGCCAGATTGTGCAAGGTCTGTGTTCTCCATCAGGAATTCCACTTTTATTCTGAATGAGGTGAAAGGCAATTAAGTCTCTGGTTTAACAGGGTCTTGCTGCTGTGTTGAAAAGACCACACAAAGACAAGGGTAGAAGCAGAGATTCCAGTTAGGAGGCTCCAGCAGTTTCTCACTGACCAGACTTCTTCTGCTTGTCCCTGTTTCTTATGAAGAATAACTAACTCCAGACTTACTCTTTCAGTTCTCTGCCCCCGAAAGTGCCTGTCAGCAGTCACCTTGACTTGCTCATGTCAGCTCCCAGCCTCTCCAGTGTAATTAGTGAGCCCTCTGCATGGGTGTTACCAGGCTAAAAGATAACTACATGCAAGATGATTTGAAATCATAGAAATTATAACATATCCTAAGGGTGTTTTGAAAATGAGGCGGCTGATTCTGCAGTGACAAATACAAGGAGAAATGTGATCAGCATGAAGTTAAAAAATGTGAAGCAACCTGCTGAAAAATTGGCCACTGTGTCTCCTGGATTGCCTACTTGGCAGGATGTTTAGATTCTTGATTACCACCCTGAGTTCTTCAATATGCCTAGAATGCAAAAGGATAATTCATCACACCCTCAGTATGATGGAAGCCTCATTAATACGTTTCCCTTCCTCTCTCTGGAATAGTTCAAAGGTAATTTTAAAAAAAACTTTTATTTTTTTATCTTTGTGAATAACTTACAAAACTTACTTCAACTTAAGGTAATTTTAAAAAATGACTGCAGTTTTACTGGATAAGAAAACAGAAAACTCAGCTAAGAAGGGCTTAAGTAGTTCGAGAATTTATCTCATGAACAACATAGTTTGATCAAGTCAGTATTTTAAAGTCTTCAAGGACCCAGGTCTTTCCATCTTTCGACTCTGCATCTTTAATTTGTGAACCAAGTCTCTTCAGTATGGGGTCAGGGAGCTTCAGACACATGTGGCTTAAAGTAAAGAAGGTCCCAAACCCTTTTCTCCATCTCCTCACCAACATTTGTTATTGTAGACTTTTTCATGATAGCCATTTTGACAAGTGTGAGGTGATATCTCATTGTGGTTTTGATTTGCATTTATCTGATGATTAGCAATATTGAGCTTTTTTTTTTTCTCATGTGCCTCAGAGCCATCTGTATATCTTCTTTGGAACAAATGTTTATCAAATAGGCTTTATTTTTAGAAGAAAAGGACAAATTTGGAAGACACATTGCTTGGTATCAAGTCCTGCTATAAAATAAAAATAATCAAAATTATTGTTTAATAATTATGTTTAATAAATAGAGACTCATGGGTAATAAAGAACAAAATCATCAATTCACAAATGGACTCCAACATATTTCAGTGGAGACAAGATGGCCTTTCTAAGAAATGATCCTGAAAGAACTGAATAACCACATGGAAAGGAGCAAACTTTGACACCATAGAGAAAAGTTGACTCCAAACAGCCCATAGACCTAAATGTATAAGCAATAATATAGAATTTCTAGATAGAGTTGGAGAAAACCATTGTTACTCTGAAGTTAGGTGAAGATTTCATAGGTTAGACATGAAAGCACAAATTATTATTAAAACATTGATAAATTGCACTTTATCTAAGATGAAATCTCACTCTTTGAAAGCCATCCTAAAAATAATGAGGCAATCCTGACAATGAAAATATATACAGTTGTCCCTCAGTATTTGCCAGGGAGGTTGGTTCTAGGACTCCCATGATACTAAAACCTAATCATGCTCAAGTCCCTTATATAAAACAGCATAGTGCAGTTGACCTTCTGTATCCTGGGTTTCACAGCCTCAGATACTGCAGAGGCCAGCTGTTTTCTCAAAATATATGTTTGACAGAGATTATGACCCAGGATATTAAAGATTCCACATAACTCAATAATCAGAAGTCAGCCATCCTAATAAAAAATTGCCAAAAGCTCTCACCAGACACATCACAAAAGAAAATATGTAAATGCTAATAAGCTTAGCATTTGCTCCTCAAGGAAATGCA